ATCCATGGAAATGCTCAAATCATAATAGCAAAACACCATTATATAGTTTGATTGCTTAGGTAAGGCTCAAATCAAAGAAATTTAATCGCTTATATAAAAATATGTGGACCAACAAAAAAAGTGTATTCTGACTTGTTAACTCGTTTGGTTCATTCTACCTAACTAGTCAGAATACACTTTTTTTGTTTATTTTATTTTTAATGTAAATTTAAGTCGTTTCAAATGTATTTGTGTATAAACTTCGATTTGTTGAACAATAAATTTGTTGTACATTTGATTTATTTTATTATATATAATTTAATATTTGTTGTGTAGTAAATTTATTACTAGAGTTATAAATATTATTATAATAACATATCTATTTTGTTATACAACAAATTTGAAATTTTTTGTGCAGTAAATTAAGTCGAGTCAATTGTAATTTGAGATTTTTTTTATTATCTAAGTATACTAATTTATGTAATTTCTTTAGATATTAAGAAAAAATACGTTAAAAGAATAATTCAAAATAAGTATGCAAACTTTTTTTTCTCTTTTTATTTTTTTTGGTGGTCTAACGAGTCGAACTACTAACCTACTCTTAGGTAAAGTGAGTCCAGGTGTCCAATCCATTTTTGTTTGATAAACTAGTCTAATCTAACCTATTTTTTGTGAGTCAGAACCTAAACGAATTGGGCATCATCGTTTTGCCATCCCTTAATGTAAAAATATTTCTTTTAGTTTTTTCTATTCCTTTTGATATTACTAATGAATTTGGTAAGTTATAGATGGAAACCATTATCTATAGAAATATTCATAGGTTATTTGTATTTAGAAAGACTCCTGCTAAAAGGTGTCAAGCTTTTCTGATTAATTTGTTAACAAAAATTTTGTCAATAATGTTACTTAATTGTTACTCAGAAATATCTCTATTGGTATATTTTAGTTATGTGTGGTTTCTTATCCATGGGTAATTTTCTATCAATAAATCAACAACATTTTTTTTAATAATTGTCTCTTAATAATTATATATATATATATATATATATATATA